TATAAAAATTTCAAACATTGCAGGAAAAAAATACAAAAGTCAGAGTCATCCATCTTCTAACTCCTCAGAACATTTCCAACATCTTCTTAAGTATCCTTTCATGTCTCTTTGCTATTGTACCCATTTTTATTGCTGCATAACACATTACCAAAAACTTAGCAACCTAAAACAACTTTATTATCAGTTGATACCCAGTTTCTCTGGGTCAGGAGTTTGGGCACAGGTTAACTGGGTCCTCTGCTCAGGGTCTCAAATAATGGCAATCAAAATGTTAGCTGAGGCTGTGGTCCCATCTGACGTTCAGGGCTCTCTTTCAAACTCATTTAGGTTCTTGCAAGGATTCAGTTCCTTGCAGCTGTAGAACTCATGGAAGCTTCCATCTTTTACAGGGCTAGTAGGAGGATATCTCTGCTGCTTCCAGTCTCTAGCTTGCTCTGTCCCTAACCTCTAGACCCAGATTTAAAGGGCTCACCTGGTTAGATCAGGCCCACCTTGCTATCTCCCTTGTAATTAACTCAGAGTCCACAGATTAATTATCTTAATTACATGTGCAAAATCCTCTTTGCCATGTAAAGTAACATAATCACAGGAGTCATATACCATCATATTCATAGATTTCACCCACATTCAAGGGGAGGAAATTATACAAGGATGAAGGTCATTTAGAATTCTGCCTTCCACACTTATCTACATACACAATGAACACGTACATTGTGTTGTATATGTTATTATTAAATAATGTGTTAATATTAAAACTTAATATTCCATAAGTATATTTCCTGCCTAATAAATGTAGATCTGCATTTTTATGGCTGAATAATGTTCTGTTTTGTATTTCAAAACAATCATGTATTGGACAGTTTCTGATTTTTCCTTCTTGTAAATTATGCAAGGATGAACATTCTGAAGTACCTATCTTTGCATCTGTGTGATTATTTGCTACACATAAGTTCTAAGGAAAGGGTTTAACCAAAGGATAAACCAAACCAGTGCTGTGACATTCTCTGAAGGTCCCTCAGCAATGCATGGTGTCATTTTTCTAGGGAGGCTCTGCCTTTGGTGAAGATTCTGCAGGTCCTTTGCACCAGTTCTACTGAGTTATTAGCATCCTTGAAAGGAGTTCTAGAAATCACTAGCTGTCACTGCAGGAAACCTACAAAAAGTAACATAAAGCAAAGATGTGTTCTTCACTTGTCATTCCATCATTATTCTCCCTCAAAAAAGTTATTTTCAACTTGATTAAATAATTCTCAATGAAATGGGGGCTTTATTTTAATTTATACACTGCTTCTTTAGAAAGAAGCAACAAGAAAACTAGATCACTTTGAAGGTTTCTAACTTTTCTTTTACCTTTAAAGAGACGCTGTACATTTTGATCGTATAGTGGGAAGTCAAGTTTCAAATGAAGGCTCTGAGAAAATATAAAATGATGAATCTTAATAACAAACAAACAAAGGAAAATTTAATTACACCTGCCTTGGAGATGTCCTACACTTGCTAGGAGTTGTCCTTGCCTTTCAATCAAGCAATGCTTTCTGAGCACTTCCTAAGGCCTAACTCTAGCGCTGGGAATGAGGTGGTGAACAAGACAGAGCCCCAGAAGTGAATCACTCCCTCGACGAATGCATAATAAAATTACAAGATGAAAACAGAAAGGCTATGACAGATCTAGATAAAGAAACTTTAAAATAACCTTTCAGGAAGCATATATATTCCCCAATCTGCAGACAACCTTGTGGTAAATGGAATTCAGAAATGTCTGTAAATATTAAACCCCTTTCACAGGGGACCTTGAAATCAAAGACAAGCATGTGTACCCAGAAATACTTAACATCCAGACAAAAGGGAACCCTCATGGCATGAGTGGTCCAGGACGCATTTTCCCTGGCCATTCTTGAGCAGAGAGAATGGCATGATTAAAAAAAAAAAAAAAAAATCTATGGCTTTGGAGGTAGCATCTTCCCACTCTGTTCACGACGAGCCTGGGAGCCCAGCCACTGGCTTTCTACCCATTGACTAGGCCCAACCCCAAACTCAGTTCTCTGAGATCTGAAATACAAAGCTTGTTTATCTTGTTCAAGGCTAACCCTGCCCAGGATATTTGATTTTAAATAAGGAGATTCTGGCACCTATTAATCTAGGGTGGTGGTGTAACAGTGAAATCCTAGCTAGAGCCAGGATTGCTAAACACAGGTTGCCTACACGGATTGTGTAGGAAGCAGGACTATGTCCATTTGGATTGCAAATGTTTCCTTGCCGTTTTCCTGGATCTCCCTGCCTAATGATGTAACTTTCCCTGTTCTGGAAGGAGGCTAGCAGTCATGGCTAAACTCACAGTGACCTTCTTTCCAGATTCAGAGGAAAGATACAGGTTCTCAAGTGGGAACCAACCTCATGTTCCTGTCCAACACCTCCACACCTTGACCCTGATCTACACCTACACCTCCCTGTCCCTGCAAACAATGCCTCGCTTCCCACACCCAGGAATGGTGTGACTGTCAACCTCATCGTCCTGCATTCTTGAGAGTCGAGTGTCCTTTTATTCAATCTCTCTATTTTCTATTCCCACTCCCTGCACTGGTTCTTCCTCTGTAAGCATGACGATCTCTCCTAATGTGAAACTAAGCAAAACACTCTTGCCTGCATTGCGTTACCTTCTAGCCACGGCCCTATCTTCTTTTTTTCCCTCCACAACCTAGATCACTCTGAGGAGAGAAACCTACACTGCATCCCTCTGTTTCCATGCTCTCCTCGTTTGGCTCTGTCCCCATTCTCCTCCATCATCCGTGAAGACGCCAGCAACTCATCCAACCCTGACTGTCTCATGTGTATATAAAAACATCTCTAGGGTTTTGTCTCCTGGGTTTCTCACTGGCTCTCGAGTTCATCACGTGCAAAACTGAACTTGTCAGCCACTCAACACACACCTCCCAACCCAAACCATCTTCTCTTCCTCCTTCATTCAGTCTTGGTAAATGGAACCATCATACTCCCTGGAAACACGAAAGTCTTCCTGCACTCATCCAGCTCTCTCACCTCCACGTGCCTGTACCCGCTGATGGCTCCTGGACCTCCCCATGGGGGTGGAGGTCAACTCAGCTCCTTGGCCCATCCTGCCTCCCCACCCAACTTCCACAAAGACAGATTTGCAAATTTAACTTGCCCAAGAATAGAGCTCAATCATTTGATTTGGGATAAAATGATCTCATAGTCTCATCCCTTCCCCTACAGCATAGTTCATTGTTTAAGAGCATGGGCCCTGGAGCTCTATCACTAACCAGCTGTGTGACCTCAGGCAAGATTCTTAACCTCTCTGCGCTTCCCATGCAATCTGGAGATAGTAATAGCACCTTTCTAATAGGGTACGGGAACATCAGCTGTGCTAATATACATAAAAGTTTTAGAACAGTGCCTGGAACACAGTAAGTGCTGTGTGTTTGTCAGTTTTGTGATTCTCTGCCCACCCTCACCTGCCATCAATCTTCCCCGTGCACACAAATATGCAAGCACGCTGTCCTCATGCCACAATGAACAGTGTGCAGTCCCCCAAACACACCGTGTGGGTTATTTCATGCCTCCACAATTTTGTTCTTACTTCTCTTGTTGACTTTCTAAACCCCCACATTCCTCAGGAGTTAGCTCAAATACGACTTTTGCTGTGAAACTTGTCTTCATTCCCAAAGGGTTTTCGCACTGAGACCCCAGTGTACCCCCAAATGAATTTCCACTGCATCACTTATATGAATTATTTTAAAAAGTCCGAGACTTACTATTTTTGAGCACCCATCACATGCCAGGCCCTATTTCTATGTGCTTTACTCCCATCATCTTATTTAAGCCTCACAGCAAATCTATGAAATGTTGTAACAATTGGTTTGCCTTTTCATCATTCCTCCTAGATCACGAGGGTCTTTGTGAGCATGAACCTATGTGTCAGTCATTGCCACATCCCCAGCACCTAGCCTGGTGCATAAAGGGTACATAGTGAAGTTAATACCTCCAAATTGAGCCAATCAAAGATGAGCCAAACTCAGAGATGGGAACATGTACGAATTCCTTACATTGAAGGGCATTTAGGCAAACGATGAATGGTAGCTGGATCTGAAATTCATCCGTGCTATAAACAAAGACTGTTATAACTACCTCCCCCCGCCGTTAAATCGTTATTACTATATGAATATTTTCTGTAGTGCAGACGGGTTAATGTGCTCTCATTGGTTTCTGTACTGTCATATAATTTCAGGTCTTTCCAAGGACATGATAATACAATTCATGATGACATTTTATTTCGTGCTCTTGCCTCAAGGGTCATGTGCAATGTTCTGAAAAGTTTTGCGTGGCCCTCAGATTGTGGGTTCCCCACCTTTGATAAAGGGTAGAGAGACACTCACCCTGATACCCTTTTCTTCCTGTTGGACACCAAAAGGAAATTTGCCACAAATTAGAGACAATTATAGTCGGGAGTTAACATTATAGTTTCTATGGCAACAGCCTAAGCCCATAAATACAAGCATTCTATTGCTTAATTGTTACAAGAGATCTGCTTCTTATAAATAGAATATGCATAAATGTAAACATAAATATAAAAGAAATTCAAAGATATATGTATTTCAGTTTCAATTAACTTTTCTTTTCTATCCTGTTCTATAGAACAGGATATATATAGTTCTATATCCTGTGTTAGCACATAGTACGTTCTGTTTCATTAGGCAGCAGAAGATGGTTAAGAACAAAACTGTTTCATGCGCTGGGTGGCCTTGAAACTGATATTAGCAGGGAAGAGAAATGTCCAGCCGCCTGATGCCCCCCAGGAGTGCCAATGGGAATGCATCTGCCCAGAAAACTCAAGTCCAGGATATCTCTCGGGAGTCTTCAATTTGGTTTATTCCATTCCAGCAACTTGTAGATAGCATACTCACAGGAATTCTGGCCACCTTTTGATTTCTTGGGGCATTGAATGGGATGGGAAGTTTAATCTCACTGGGGTGGTGTTTTCTCAGGAACTACCACTGCTGGAATGAAGCCTGGATGACAAGGCCTGATCTTCCCGTTGGATTTGGAGGGTGGCAAGTTGTGGACAGCACCCCCCAAGAAAACAGTGATGGTAAAACTGCATCGTCCCTCATGGAACTCGTTTCACTGCGATCTTTATTTTGCTGTTAGGATTGCATTTGATGTGTGGGCAACACTCCCATTGGGAACCAACATCAAAATTGTGCTTCCTGGGCCCATGTATGGTATTAACAGCCTGTCAATCAGTTTAATTTCATTTCAATGGTCGGTTTTCCCCTGATTATTCTACAACTGGTAAAAAAAAAAAATGCATAAAATTTAACATATATAATTCATCTACTCTTGCTTTGATAAGCAGTTTTGAAGACAAGAGAAAAAATATCCTTGTAGGCACTTTTACTAGCCTCTAAAATACACCTCGGCCCTCTGTGATGCACCGTGATAAGATATGAGGCAGTAGAGAAAATAAAGAACTCAAAAAATAGTTACAGATCATCCTTTAAATTATTGTTTTCCCAGAACTTGATTTCTTTTTATGTTGTGTGATTTCTTCCAACACCTAAGTGTGTGGGTATTCATCATCTAACTTGGAGTCTATGCTAAGCAATGAATGGCACCTATGACCGCCCTCAGATTTTTATAAAATCACATCATAGGCCTCCATTTCTCTTTAATATGATGATAAAAACCAGTGGCCTGGGGACATTATGTTTACTTCCTCAGGTGTTGATATGAGATACTGACATGTGTGTGTATACCCATATATCCATAAACATTCATAACTTATTCGTAAGAGACTCATGCTTTATTTATGCTGGATTTTGAGGGAGAATGTTCAACACTTTCTGGTGTTCTCAATTATGTATCATGAGGAGACGTCAGAAATGACTAATGGCAGTTAATTTCTTATTAACCAGAGATAGCTGGTTAAAATGTAAGGAACTTTGTAAAGGTAATCATGTGCCTACTGACTTCCGGAATGCATGCTGGGCATTGATCAATGTGTTGTTAATGTCCAAATTCCTCAATTTAATACTTGACGTACATGCATAATGTCCAAAAACAAGACACAAAAATCAAAACAAACAACAACACAACCAGGGGGGACACATTACCATCTCCAACATTCCAGAGACCTGTGTAAATGGATAAATCCTCTGTAAGCAAACAGCTCAGCCTCAGAACAAACATCTGGAGTATGTGTTCTAGGTGGGAGAAGAGACAGAGACACAGTGACTGCCCTGTATTCTTCTCATGGCTTCAAATTTTGGTTTGAGGATGCATTTCCAACAAAGCCCTCTTGATTACACACCTTGGTCATTCACCATCTCTGGCCATGGGAAGCATGTGGGCTTAATCAGGGATGAAGTCGGGAACACTTGCCTGTACAGAGCAAGATACAGAGCCTGTATCTGTATCTGGACAGAATTGAAGATGACAGACTCATGCTTCCCTTTCCTCTGTGTGATGCAGGGATGTATCGGTGCGGCCCAGCCTCCGTTCAAGCTATTAAGCACGGCCATATTTGCTTCCAGTTTGACGCACCCTTTGTTTTTGCGGAGGTAAGTAGTAAGCTGGAGAGAAGTGCTGCTTTCTTCCTGAACCTCTTAATACTGAAAAATAAGACACCAGATTGTTACTTCTAAATTTCCCAAGTCCGTGGCATGTGTTTCATGTCTACAAAGTCGACTAAACATCATTTCAACCTCCAGGCTCTTAATTCTAAATGTAGTTCTTACTTAACATTTTTCTTTCCTTGATGTTTTGAGATTTTCTCCTTGAAAAGCAACTGTGTTACTAACCTTAGTTGAGTTCTTCACACCCATGAAATAGGTATCAACTGCTCCTGAGAAATTAAGTGACTAAATGAATCCCTCAACTAAAAATTGGTGGAGACAGTCCATGAATTGAAATTTCAGAGCTTACTACTTCACTCCAACACTAACCTAGCAGTTCACGTAAAAACAAAATCCAGACACACCCCAGCCATGGTCTTAGTCTGGGAACTGCAACCCATTTCCTGCCACACCAGGCCATCCTCCATCATCGAAGGGGAAACCGGGCCAGCTGAAATAGGGAGGGGAGGGAAGGGCAGCTAGAAGGCAGCATACTTCATGGGTTGATGGGGACACTTTTGTAAAGGGTCTGAAATTCTGAAAGATTTGAATGGGGACTAGGAGCAGATGAGGCAGTTAGAGAATACTCCAAGGAGATCTCTAAAAATCAAATTAAATATAAAAGGTATTAGTAAAGGAGAAGGTTGGGAGGCTGGGAGGCTGGGAGGCTGAGGGCAGGGGGTGGAGAGAAGAGAAATATGTGAGAGGCTGAGAGGCAGGATTTACCCGGAATATAGTTTTACCAATAAACACACTGAAGTAATGTCTGTTGTATACAGAGTTCTTACCATGTAATCACTGTGCCTACCATTTGAGGCTCTTAGCCACCCTTTAAAATCGGTATTATGATTCTTCCCATTTTACAGAAAGGAAAATTGAGGCAGCATGGTTAATAACCTTTCCACATTCATTGAACTAATAAACAGTCATGCTAAGATCTAAAGCCAGACAGGTACTAAAGCTCATGCCAGTAACCACCACACTCTACTACTACTCTGGGATGAATAAATACCTATTATAAATATGTGGCAGGCACTGTCCTGTGGGGAAATCAGAACCCTTATGAAACTAGATCCTTGGGGAGCCTGGGTGGCCCAGTCCATTAAATCTCTGACTCTTGGTTTTGGGAGATGGAGCCCCTGGACAGGCTCCACGTTCAACGGGAGTCTGCTTGAGAGTCTCTCTCCCTCTGCCCCTCCCCCTCGTGTTCTCACTCTCAAATAAATATATCTTAAAAAAAAAAGAAATTAGATTCTTAATGGGAGGTGGCAATACATAGAACATCAAAAGTTAAATAACAGTAGTACAGGAGACTCTGTGGAACTAATTGTCAGATGAGCAATGTAGGTGATAAATGATCTGCATTTAATACATACAGATTCGTTAATTGAGAAACACGGGTCAGGAACTGAGTAGGACAGTAAAGGCCATAAGACACTATCCAGGGAGGGAGGGTGACATGAGGACAGAGGATAATGACACCTGTGTGAGAGCCACGATGGTTGGGCGGAGCATTGTGGGAGCACACGGAGGGAGGGGCAGGGAGGCTCCCTGGAGGGATTAGTGCCTGAACTGCGTCTTGAGGGACAGTTTGTAGTTATTCAGGCCAAGTGGGTAAGAAAGAAGCCAGAGGAAGGAAAGAATCTGAGGCAGAGGGGACAATTTGAGCATCCGAATGGGATGTGTGGGAAATGACAAGCTGTGCCGGCTCAGGAAAAGTGACGTGTCAGGGGTGTAGAAGATGAAGGCAGAAGGAACTGGACTCCTGTAAAGGAGTCCCCACAGGGGAGAGACTTGAGCCTCGTGGAGCTGGGACTTGAAAGGGGTGGCCCCGAGCTGGGGGTGGGGGGAGGTCAGCGGGAAGGCTGTGTCTGCTCCACACCCACCCGAGAGGGCAGGACCTGAGCTCCCCAAATGGCAAGAGGCGGAAAGGAGGAGGCAGCCTCCAGAAATGTTTAGGAAGTAAAATAAGCGTGAATATTCAGACAGCGAGATCGGGAATTTGAAATACACAAAGGAGATAGTATTGCTTCCATGGAGACTACCATTACAGTTGCTAGAAGCCTGGGGGAAAAAGGCAGACTGTATTTCGAATTTCATCCCCCTCGATTTCACTTCGGGATTTGGAGATTTATCCCAACCTCCCAGCTGCCAACTGATAGTTTATGATGCTAGGAGAACCTCTTAATGGGAAATCACTCTAAAATTCACAGAGCCATGTTTTTATATTTTTATTATACTTTGTTGCTGCAAAGAAAGACAGAGGGAGCAACCTCCCTCCAAGAGTGAATTGCCTAATAGCTGTTAATGCAAACGCTTTTTGCTATTATTAAATATAGATCGGGGTGTTATGCATGTCATCGGGATTCGCTGATTATAATTACTCCTCTCTCAGCCACTGCAGACTTGTCTGACAGAGCGGACGATTTGCTGCTTTGGCACGGGCTGAACCCCGGGGCTGAGCCATTTATAAGAGATGCTCAGGCTGTTGAAAGTGTATGGAATCTTTTCTCAAGGGTGCCCAAAGTAGGACCGCATGGGGGGCATCGTATTTAACTTTAATGAGAGTGTCCATGACTCAGGTTCAGACTGCATCCTCCCTTCCCTTCTCCATCCTCTGGCTGCATAAACTTGCCTGTCACACCCCAGGCAGGCAGCCTAGTGTGCCTTTTCTTGCCTCTCGCTGACTTTCTTGGTCATTCCTTACTCACTTCCGGGCTGGATTAAACATCGTGTTCACTGACGTTTTTTGATCTTCTCAGAGCCGTGGTCTCCTTTAGTTAAAGCAAAATCCAAAATAAGAAGTGAAGGGGAGCAGAGGATACAGGCTTCCAGTTATAGAATAAGCCACGGGGCTGAAAGGCACAGCATGGGGAATATAGTCAATGATGTTGTCATAGTGTTGTATGGTGACAGATGGTGGCTACACTTGCCATGAGCACAGCATAGAGAAGTTTGAATCACTATGTTGTACACCTGAAATTTATGTAACATTGTGTATCAACTAGACTCAAATTAAAAAAGTAAAAAGTAAAAAGTAAAAAAAAGAGGCATGTACATGGGAAGGATCCTATCTCTGCCCCTTCTCCTCTCCTCCTCCATTTTAGAAATATATTCTTCACATTTCTAGATAGCTTCCAGGGCTTGAAGCTTATTTCTCATGCCCTCAGTGCCATGACGAGGACCTCCATTCTGGAAGCCCATCTGCCTTTTCTCTCCCCAACTAATGGTGGCCTTTGGCTTCTACAGGGGTGGGGGGAGGAGAGAGCAGAAGAGTGCTAGGGTCTGAAGTCCTTTCCTGAGTTCCCCGTGTTCACTGAGCACTTGGGGGTTGCTGCTCCTCTTCCATCTTAGCTTCCTCTCATTGGCTCTGTCCTCCCCTTCCTGCCAGCCCACCCCAAACCTGCACACACGTGCACACTCGAGTACATGCCACCCCTCCTTCCCTCCCTGTCACTGAGCTATTTTTGCAGCAATGATGATTGGTCCCCCAGGGCCACAGTAACTGCTCCATTGCTCAGAAGCTACATAGCACTTTCCCATGCTCTGGACTGGAGGTTCTTTGTATACAAACTCTACAGACACTTCATTCTCAATTCAAGGTTATTTTGCTACCACTTTTTAGCCCATTTTGGGGGGCTCCTATTCTGATCTAAAATAGTTCATCCATTTATTCAAATAACGTATAAGATTTTGGAATCACGTTGGCTTCTCTTCTTAATCTTCTTCATGCATCTTGCCAGAAATACCTTCTAAAAAGAGCATGCATCCAGCCAGGTCTGTGATGCCCATTATTACCCTTTGAGCTCTGTATAACATTGAGCTCTATGAACTTGATTCCTAGCCCACCTCCCTTCCCTCCTCTTTCCCTTTTCCTGTTTATTCTCCACAGTCTAACCAGAATCATTCTTTAAAAATGTAAATAAAACACATTACTCCCTTGCCCCCAACCTTCTAATGGATTTCCACAACCCTTACAATAAAACTGAGCACAAGTCTTTACAAGATTCTATGTGATCTGGCTCCTGGCTTTCCTTCCACCTCTTCCCTTGCTCATTTCCTTCCAAGTCATACTGACTTTCTTGCTCTTCTGGCAACATGCAAACATACTGTTGCTTCTGAGCCTTTATATATACTGTTCCTTTTGCTGGGAAAGCTCTCCCCTACCCTCCACCACACGCTTGCACGTTTGACCCCTCCTTGCATCCAAGTCTCTGCTCAGGTCACCTCCTCAAAGAGGTCTTCACTCATCCCACCCCACCCCCACCTAAAATCTCACTTCCTGGCCTGTCTCACAACACTTGCCTTAGTGTTATTATTTCTCTCCCTTCTAGAATATAAGCTCCATGAATGTATCCTCATCACTGAAAACAAGTTCTGGCACAAAGTAGTCATGAATAAATACCTGTTGAATGAATGAGGAGGGATGGATGAATGAAGCAAGCCAGCAAACAGAAGCAGAGGCAGAGTACCCTGCTAAGAACTGAGTCTCAGAGAGATAGGATCCAGATGGTGCCCTCAGGTGCTGGCAGTCCTGGTGGGAGATGAGGCACAGGGACAGCAGCAGACAGCACACACAGGGGCCTGGCAAGCGCAGAGTAGAAGGACGGCAATTGTACCAGAAGGTTCGTGCACCAGGACAGTATCCACTGCCTCCGTGCACTCTCAGAGGAGCACCACTTTCTCTGCACAGCCTGTTTTGTAGTTATCTCTAGTTAGGAACAAATGAACAAAGCAAATCTTCCTGGATCCTGAAAAAAGAGTTTCCATCCTTAGTGGTAAAGAGCATAGCTTCTGCCAGCAGTAGACATGTGCTTACATTCAAGGGGCACATGAAGAACTTTGTCGAGAGGGGGACCCTTAGCTTGCAGCCCCAGCCCACCTTTGCTGAGCCGCAGGGGCTCAGCAAGCACCTCAGCAGAGGCTGAGTAGAAGTGCCCGTGTCTGACAAAGGGGCAAAGTTGTGGTGTGCTGAAACCAGCACCAGATTTCATGTTGGGATGCCCAGGTTCTTTGTGACCACAGTCCCCTCAAGTATAGCGGTAGGACAAGATGGCCACTAAGACTCCTTTTCATTCAAAAGAAATTAGCCTTCAACATAGGGCTTTCTCCAGCAGTGCTGATCTAGCTATCTGCCCTGCAAGAATGGCATTGTTAAACCCAAGGTGAGAGACAGTGAGTAACTTGCCCAACGTCACACAGTGTAGATCCAATATTCTTTCCAACGTCACCTGCACTTACAACTGTCTACCATAGACATGCAGTTGGCCTCGGGTGGGGGCCTGTCACCATTACTCTTTTAAGCCCTCAGTGGCTCATACACAGCCAGGATGAGGGGCCATTGCACTGGTGGCTGAAACCGAAAAGGGAGCTTGCTAATGTCGATTGGAAAGAATACTTTCTCTCCGCACCCCCACAACATACATACGCCATAGCCATTTCATATGTGGGTTTCTCCTCTCCTCTCTCCACAAGGGACAGTGCTGCTGGGCTGGCCTGAGATTTTAGCCCACATAAATTTCCTAAGCTCTATGCTCAAGGGGAGACAATGATTTAGCCACTTTTCATATTTAGCCTTGTCTCCCTGGAAAACTGTAAACTGTTGTGAGGGCTGTTATTAAGAAGATATTTATCAGCATTGTTGCTCTAATTTGCAAGAGGAGGAGGCTGTTTGTGCTCGCATGGCCTTCTCCAAAGGGAAAGCCAAAATTCTCAGGAAGCTCTTTTAAAGTTTCCTTAACTTTTTTTTTTTCCCAAAATGACAAATATCCCTGGTGTCTGCCCTGTCATGGCCTATCCTAATTCCTAAATTCATATTTTGGTCTTGCACATCCTATGGCTAGGGCCACAAAGCCGTGATTATTCTGCCGAAGAATGAGGTCACCATTTATCACCCCTCAGATATCTAGGCCCATGCATGGAACCACTTGCACCCCAAGCATGAAACCATCTTACCACCTCATGGCGGCGCTGGTGGTCCGGTGGGGCTGTGTGGGAGAGGTAATGCACTGTGAGGGTCAGGGAATGGGCCAGCCCAAGGGGAAGGTCAGGGAATGGGCGATGGGCCAGCCCAGGGTTTCAGCCTCCAGCAACTCCCAGCTATGTGACCACAAACACTTTGCTGACCCTTCTTAACCCACTTGGCACCCTCATCTATAAAATAGGGATAATAATACATACCTCACAGGTGGTTGTTGTTGTGAGGTTTAGATTAAATAATTTGTTAGTGTCCCTGAAACCTTGTGGCTCTTCAATGAATGTCGGCTACTTGCTTTCACCTTAGTAGAGGTCAGAGTCCATGTAAATTCAGAACATTTTGTGAGAAAGTAAAGAAAAGTTGCTTTTTTTAACCTCAACTTTGAAAGTTAGGGCTTTATCATCAAGTTCCCGCATTACCTAATAAAAACCATTACATTTTTACTCAGTTTTAAAGTTTTCAAGTCATGGTCACATAGATCCTATTTTGCTTGGTGCTGTCTCATTAAAGCGTTACTATGAAATTGGCAGAAGAAGTATAACTATTTTTTTTAATTTTTTTTATTGTTATGAAGTATAACTATTTTCATTTTCTAGAAACAGGAACTGAAGTTCAGAGAGAATAAGGTAGCTTTCCAAAAGTACACATTCAAGATCAGAACCCGAGGTTCTTGCTGATCCAGTGGGTCTCTGACCCACCCTCTCGGACCTGTGGTTGTGGCAGTCCCTCTGCCTGTCACAGCCTTCCTCTCTCCATTTTTTTTTTTTTTTGCTTTATTCTTTTTAGCTTTATTGGGGTATGATTAACGTAAAATATTGCACACATTTAATAGATACATCTTGATGAGTTTGTACATATGCATACACCTGGGACATCTTCCCCACAATGAAGGAAGTACACATGGCATGGCCTCCAGAAATTTCCTTGTATTCTTTTGTGAGCTTTTGTTGGTTGGTTGGTTGGTTAGTAAGAACACGTAACATGAGATCCTTTAGTTCGCTAACTCCTATGCATCTTCCCGTTTTCAACTTGGCTGTTACTTCCTAGTCACCCTCCCGCCCTGCCCCACCCTGCCCCACTGCCCCAGGTGCTCTGGTGGTATCTTAAGCATCCCCCCCACCCCGGGTACTTATTGTACTGTATTGCCAGGGTCTCAGGTCTGGGTGTCCAATAGAATTAATTGAGACCTTCTTTTAAAAATAATAGACTTAGCGTCCCACCCAAGACTTCCTCAATTTGTCATCTTTTTTTTTTTTTTAAGTTCCCTAGGTGATTCTAATGCACAGAATCTCCCTTACTAGAGTGTAAATCCTACAAGAACAGTGACCAAATGCATTTTGTCCATCTTTAGGACTATAGCACTACAGCGTCTTGGCAATACTATTAATTTATGATATTATTATTATTTATAGAGCATTTGATCTATGCCAGGCACTATGATAAGTAATTTACAGACATCTATTTCAGTTAATTTTGCCAACCACTGTGAGGAAGACACTATTATCACCCTATTTGAAAGAGTAGGGATGTGTAGCTTGGAAAACATTTCATGAACACATCAGAGACTGTTTTCAGCTGGAGCTCCTGATAATGCACTGTAGTTCATGTTTCTACCTGCTCCCATGCTAATAAATGGGATCCTAAGAAAGTGGTTATAAAGAATATAATAAGAGACTCTAGGGGAGTCTCAGGCACAGATTTAGACATTGTCTCTAGAAAGTAGAGTGGTAAGGCAGAATGTCAGAAGAGCTTGGGATCAGCTGGCATGGCCCCAAGATGCTGTCTCCAAATACTACAAATAGCATGGTTTCATTGCTGAACCACCACAAAATTGCCTGAATTTTTTCTGACAGCCTAATATCATTTTTCAGTTAAAATGCTTTTGGCTGCAAGTAACAGAATTAAAATGACTTAAACATGAAGAGTTTACCTATAATTTTTCTCATGTAGATAATCCTAAAGTAGGCGGTCCCAAGGTTGACTCAGCCGTTTAACAGCATTGTTAAGTCCGTACGTGTTTCTTGTCTCTCTACTTGGCCATCTTTGTATTGGTGGCAGTGTTTCTCTTCACTGTCCCAGGGTGGCTACAAAAGCTCCAAACATCACCTCACTTAATGTGAAAACATTGAAAAGGAGAAAGGGAAGGGCAAACTCTCTCCTTTTATAACAGAGAAGAATCCTACCCAGAAGCCACCCAGCAGACTTCTTCTTCCCAGAAGTAGGTCACACAGCCACTGCTGGATTAAAAGCAGTCTGGGAAAATGAGTAACAGGTGTGATGGTTTTGGCTCTTTCTGAGGAGGTGGAATTCACCAGCAAGATAAAGGAGAGAAAGAAGTGGTTGATGTTTAAACAATCAATAGTCCAAATACTCTTCATTTGTAACACCTGATAACTAAAATAAGCTAGATTATCCTTCAGATTCATTTTAAAACAAGTTCAGCCCAATGAATCCAATGTTGTTGAAGAAAGGAACATGTCCACTCTAGGGATCCGGGATGGCTACACCACTGAGAGAGATTCTGATGACAAGGACGTCAGATGGTAGCTAACGCTCTCTTCTCCTGTTTTTAGGTCAACAGTGATCTCGTTTACATTACAGCCAAGAAAGATGGCACTCATGTGGTTGAAACCGTTGATACCAGCCACATTGGGAAATTGATTGTAACCAAAGAAGTTGGAGGCGATGGCATAAAGGATATTACTGATACCTACAAATTCCAAGAAGGTAACTTATTGCCCCTGAATGAAGATTTCTTTGCCCGAGTTTGTTTAATACTTATCTGCTGTCACTATGAAATGTGTTCTGGAGAATACACCATAAACCCTCATGAGGGAGACACCTCACACCCACAATTTCTCCTTGTAGTTTTCTTTATTTGCTTTGAGCAGAATTCCCCTTCACATCGCTTGTGAAGGCAATTTGGTTTAAAGTCATGTCTCTTTTAACACAATATAGTTCTTGCTCACAAAAACATGGAAGAATCTTAACTTTCAATAATAGAAAACACTGTATAACTAGTGTAATTTTAGTTTAATAATAGAAATTTAAACAGCCATTCACGGTTGTTTAGTACTTTACAAACTATTTGCACATACATCGTTCCATTGAATTATCATGGAAGTCCCTTGAAATAGATAATACAATATTAACAGGACAGTGTGATCTCACTAATTCAGACCAATTAGGTCAAAGGCCAATTTCAATTATAAAATAATATTAATGTTAATAATGTTTATTGTGTAGACAGTTTCAAATGGAGCTGTTGAATTCAAGCCCATTTCCGTCAGTACCAGGTGCCTACTCTATGTCCAGAATTTTGTTTGGTGCTGGGGATCCCCACGGTGAGCAAGATTCAGTTTCTGTTCCTGGAAAGGTGATAGGATCATCATTCAGAGGGTGTGGGGAACAAATAAGAAAGACACACAGTCCAGCCAGGAGATTCAGAAAAAGCAGAGCAGGGTAAGAGAAGTCACAGACCACAGTTGAAGAAATCTAGACAGGGGCTTCCAGGCAGTGGGAACATGTCCAAAGGCATCCTGGAGATGTGAGTTAGTCGGTGTGTTTAGGGTCCTAAAAACATCAAGCTCAGAGTGCCAATGGTTAGAGACAAGGCTGCCCAAGGTCAGTAGTGGACAGGAGGTAGAGGAGCTTGGGTTTCTTGATGGGGAACGTGGAGTATATTTTACAAATGATTCACCCGTAGAGGTTCTTAGGAGTGGCATTTATTTTAGTGAATGGAGAGAAATGACAAGTAATTAGCATATACCTAAATATTCATCAGTACTCCTGAAGTGCTGAGTACAGAATTTGTTTTAAATATTTTAGACAGTCTCTCTGCTCTTATTTAAAAAAGCAATTTGCACTATAAAGAGAAAGTTTGCTGAATTGAGAATTCTCACACACTGTATTAGAAATTCAGGATTTTTGTCACCTGAACGAGGGAATTTTTGCTATATTTCTGAAATGGTTCACTCTTTTTTTCTATTGGTTATCATCCATTGCACAACATAGATACAAATGTGGTTTTTTTTTTTTCTTTTTGGCTTTTTCCTGAAATGAGAGTTTATAAAAACCATAAGTACAATAAAACAAACAAGTAATGCCCTCTTGTTATAGAGTTATGGACAAAAAGGTTCGGAAAGGAAAAATAAAAGTCCCTAGGAAAAGAGAAAGGGACGCCAGGGTGGCTCAATCGGTTAAGCGTCTGCCTTCAGCTCAGGTCATGATCCCAGCGTCCTGGGATCGGGCTCCCTGCTCAGTGGGGAGCCTGCTTCTCTCTCTGCCTGCCACTCCCCCTGTTTGTGCTCTCTCTCTCTCTGACAAATGAATAAATAAAATCTTTAAAAAGAAAAAGAAAAAGAAAAAAGAGAAAGAAACTAGCTGCAACATTCACCCATCTATTCATTCATCCATTCAACAACTTGATCTTAACCACCCACCATATTCCCAGCACTGTTGTGTAGGGATGCACAGTCCTGCCTTCCTGTCTAGCTGGAGAGATGAGCAGGAAGCAAGCCCTCACCACGCTGTGCAGCAGGTGCCCAGAACAGGGCACAGAGAAGGGAGTTCCAAATCAGACTTGGGATCCTGAAGGACATTAGTGGTGGGCTCACTGAGACAGAATGAGAAACAGGTATTGGCCAGGTGAAGCACGAGGAGAGACTTCTCCAGGAAAAGGCAGCCCACCAGGGATTGTGGATAAAGTCCTGGTGTGGAAGAAGTCTTGAACAGACAGTGTAGAGAAGAAGTGGTGACCCTACAGGGAGCCATCCAGACAACCAGCTGCCTTTTCTAAACCACACAGCAGAACGCCATTGTCATTAGCTGTCATCCGTGGAGGTGGCAGTGAAGGCCAAATCCAGGTCAGATGTCAAAAGAGGAAGGACCAAAAGCCAGTCCAATGGAAGAGGAGTCAGGGCTTGACCAGGGGTGGACACCAGATTAAAAGAAATAAAATGTGCCCACTCTGGATGGGGAAGATAGCTGGAGGTTCAGGCTTTCAGAGTTTAGCAAGGAGGCAAGGCTGAAGGAGGTGGACCATATGGGGGTCTGGTCCAAGCAGAAGAACCCCTAAGTCAGCATAGATAGTTATGAGACACCCCATCTGGCTTCTGGGCTGGAGTTTGATCCCAGGAGGTTAATTAGCCTCTTAACCAAGAATGGCAGCTGCATTTTAAATTCTGACTTTAGGAATGACCGAGTGGGGTGCTATTTACAGAACGATGCAGACACTGTGCCTAAATCTGGCGGGACCGACTGAGTGATTACAGATGTCGCCACGGGCCCCTAGGAGAGGCTGCTCACATCCGTGGTCATACATTTGTCACTCTGGTTCTCATTATTGAATCTCTCATATAATTGCTCTATCCATAAATGCTGAATGTGGCCACTAAAATGTGGAGATGAATAAAAACATAGAGAAGAAGTTATTACCACATTCAGGAATTAACTATTTTAATTAACTAAATTGTGGAAAGATCATTTTTCATGCGGAGGATGAAAAAAAGCTTAATATTAATTTTATACCTTTTTTTCAAATATGTAAGATTAGGAAACTATAAAATTTTGAAAACCAGAATTCTTAAAACTTTTGCAGCCATCTGTCTTCTTTTATGATGATGTCTGGATCCCATTTCCTCTTTGTTCCATCAGTCATTCCCTCTGCCCCTTGTATTTCCATGTCTCCTTCCCCATTAGCTCCTTCCCATTCACATTTAAGCAGGATCCAGTGTCACCTGTGTTTAAAACAAAATATGCAACTTTTTTTTCAGCAATGTATTCCCCACCGAATATGCCCCGTTCTTTCTTCCCACTGGCCTCCATGGCAGGCATCTTGAAAGAACTGCCTGTCCTCGGCACGCCATTGCGTGCCTTTTCCTTTCTTTTCTCACATCCCCTGAGTTCTGCTACCAGCCACAAATCCTTGAAGCTCCTTTTCTTCTTCTTTTTTTTGGAAGATTTTATTTCATTTTATTATTTGAGAGAGAGCATAAGCAGGGTGAAGAGCAGAGGGAGAAGCAGACTCCCCGCTGAGCAGGGAGCCCGATGCGGGACTCGATCCCAGGACCCCGGGATCATGACCTGAGCCGAAGGCAGTCGCTTAACCGACTGAGCCACCCAGGTGCCCCTTGAAGCTCCTCATCTCAAGGCTGCCAGGACCAACGGATTGCCATGTGGAATAAATGTTTGCAGATCTCAGCTTGCCTGAGCTTCCTGTGCCTTCTGTTGCTACTGCTCAGCCCCGAATCTTGACATTCTCTCCCCTCTTCGTTCCTATGACACCACTTCTCCTGGTTCTATCCCAACCCTACTTGACGCTTTGCTATCCCCTCTGCAACTCTAAGCTCCTCTTTTTTTCCCTCACCTCTGAATGGTACTTATTCTAGGCTCAGTCCGCAGGCTTCATTCCTACCCACTTTATGTTCTTTCTCTATGGCTGGCATTATAGTCACATGTCTACTAATCACCCCTCAGTTGGTGTCTCTGGCCCAACTTATCTGTTCAGCTCCACATTCCCCTAAGTCTCCCAAGAAACCTGAAACCGACCCTTCTGAATGCCTCCTTCTCTCAACGCTTCTCTTCCCTGGACCTGTTTCCCACCCCCCCCGCCCACTCCAGACCCCAGTGAAGAGAACCACAGTCCCCCCAAATTTAGCAACTCAAGAACCAATCGCGCAGCAAACCCTCTAAATGTCCCCTTAGAAATAGTTCCAATTCATCTCCTCTCCTCTATCGCTATACTATGGCCACTCTGAGAATTCAGTGGTATCAGGTGTGGAAAGCCCTTAGCATAGTGCCTGATACAGAATAAGTGTCCAATAAAGTTAGTTTCTGCTCCTGCTAGTAATTCTATTCTTACTACAATACTACTACTATTAGTCAGGGTATGAGTATTTTCTCCTGGCTACCTGCTGTTATTTCCCAATTCCACCTTCCCACCACAGCCTCCTTTCCCTTCGTCTAACCCGTGCATTGCTGCCAAAGTGACATGTTTAAAATATAAATTTGAGCCTGTTATGACATTGCTTAAAAGCCCTTGCTCTCCTCTGTTTCTTCGAAGGGCGTTTCAATCAAAGCTCACCAAGCCTCTGCTATTTGCTTTCTGGGCCCCCTCACTGCACCTCCTGACCACACCCACAGGCATCCCAAGCAGCAGCCGGGAGAGCTGCTGACAGTCCTCCAGAGAGCCAGACTGCCACTTTCTTCATGCCTTTGCTCTCACTGGGCGGAGAGTAAAACCTCTCCAAGAAGGCTTCCCTGCCCCCAGGTGGTGTTGAGTCTCTCCTCCTGTGCCCTGCCCCACATGCGAACGTCTGACCCGGCATCTGTGGGGGACACACGTATAGTGATCCCTCTGCACTTGTCCCTGAGACCCATGAGGGAAGGGCTGTGCTTCTCATCTGAGCCTAGCACGGTGCCTGGACATCATAGTGGCTCAAGTAGCGCCAAATCGTCAAATGAATGGTAATGCCGGTGGCCCTTTCACAGGTGAATTTAAATGCACATCACATATCCCAAACTGGACTATTTAGTATCTATTAAAAGATGAAAGTTTTGTCTCTGGATGAAAGCAAAGTGCTTTTCCAAACCTTGATCCTTCAAAGCCTCTGCCAGGCCAGGTCGTATGTAGGTCTTGGGAACATGCAGATGCGTTCTAGTCGTGAAAATAACGTTATGCAGTGTTAAGTCCTGGGCAAAGGACAGAAAACCAGGTAATGTGTTAGTGAGAGATGAGAGGACTGGGCTTGGAGACACATTACACAGGGTGATGGAAGGGGGTGCTCTCTGAGAAGGTGACATTTGAGCTAACACCTGAACAATGAGAAGAAGTTTAACAAACATAAAAGGGCACTTTCATTACATCCAAGTTAATGGAAAGATGCTTTTGACCTTGTTCCTGGAGGCCACAGAAGAATCTCAGAAGATATAATCTGGTTTTAGATCATTCTCCCACAGCACTAAATTCATGGCCCTGAATTATGTAAGATGTCAGAGCATAAAGCACAACTGCAGAGAGACGGCAATTTTGCAGAGCTCTAGGGAAACCCTGACGTTCCTGCCTCCTCTTCCGGAACGACTGCCCGGCGACTCCGGCTCCCGGGACAGGCGGATCCCCAGAGGGGACCCAGAGGCTCATCCATCTATGATGCCATATAAAGTCTCCCGTGGTTCACCACAAGCCTTCCATTGCCCCTTCCCCTCATCTGGGCCAGCTCAGCCTCTCTTTCCCCAGATGGCACCTCTCTGACAGGTAGGTCCCTGCTGCTGGTGTTCCCCTCCCGCATTTTGTCTAAATGCATATCTGGTGCCCATCCAAAGTGATCATCAATAATGCTCTCCCGAGGAGCTGTTGGCCATGTGCTTTCTGCAGAAATATTTTACTGAACTTTCCTTGTCATAGCCCCTCCTTCCCTTTATAGGGAGATAATGTCTCCGTCCTATTGATCTGTAAACACGTGCTCTAGCCAACGCTTGTCCTAGACCAATTGTTCCTGGCACATTCTTGCCAACTTGACAATCCGAGAAATTGTTAACACACACGCACATTCACGTTTGTTTGCAACACCTACTGGCATTTTTGGTCTTTGCAAAGTACTAGTAGCTTCCAGTTTTTATGCGTGCCTCCAAACCTCCTAAAAACCCTGTGATGTAGGTGACCCCCCTTGTTTTTTTACAAACAAGGACATGGGTGGTAATAATAGTGCCTGCCTTGTAGAGTTCTCTGAGGAGTAAACGAGACAATGCCCAGTATGCACTTCACCACAATACCTGTCACAGAATTAGCTCTCAGCGATAACTGTTGTTGTTAATTGACTTCTTCATCTGCATTGCGTTTCATTGCTAAGTAGAAGGCATTATCTTAAAATTAATGAATTTAAAAGCTCACACTTTTATTTCCAGGTGATTCTTTTTTGCTAGCCATTCCCATGACTGGTTTTTACAAGTCCGAGAATTTGCCTCTGTGTCTTCAACCATGCACTAAGATGTACCCAAAGGTATTCGGGGGGTAAAGAGAATAGAGACTCTCTCTCCACACCTCCTCAAGCCCTGTCCGCTCAAGCCGAGCATTTTGTCCGGGGCTCTGTAAGGAACATCAGCCCAGCTCGGAGCCAGGAGGAGCAAGCTCTGAGGTCTGACTTGTATCTGTATTTCTTGCTTCCACAACTGCACAAAGCTATTGTTTGATTCTTCCAGAGCTCACCCCTTATCCTCCTGTCCCTACCTTCATCTCCTCCACCACCATCCTGGAAATCCCACAGAAGACATTTTCCTAAAAAGAGCACACACATCTCCAACTGCATTAGAACTTCAGTGCACCCCCAGATGCCAATAGGTGTCCCTCAAAAAAAATGTAGTTGGCGTCAGATGAGTTTGGGAAGTCTTACGTTAACTAAGTCTCCTCACTGTGAGGCTCAAGCTCAGAACCTCTGATAGGCTGGAATCAAGACAATGAACATCTGGAGGCCCCAGACAACCCAGTGCTCCCCCAGGGAACTTGGCCTTAGAGCCCTTTGGCAGGGAAGGCTTGTTAACGACTTGCCAGGTCTGAGTATATGGGGCGGTGCGCTATTTGGGGGAAAAGTGATCTCTACACTCTGCCGGGGGATTGGCGGGGAAGATGACAAGAGAGGAAGGAGTAGAGGGCAGGACGGCAGCTGCCCAGGGGTCAGCTAAGCAGGAGAAAGTGGGACAGGCCCACGTGGAAAGAGAGACAAGGAAGACAGGTCTTATCAGAAAGACCCGTGAACAGGAGAAAACTGGTATAGCACAAGGTGGAATGGCAAGATACAACTATCGCCAAAATCTTTGCTTAGAGACCCCCAAATTCTAGCTAGGATTAGGGGAGGGAAGCAAATTGGCACCACTATTTGAGAGGAGTTGGACTGGACCAACTCTGCCTACAGAACCCCGAAGTAGCAGCCCTGGAGAAACAGCCCTGAGAGCAACCCCTTAGCACCCCGCTTTCAGATAAGCCCCGGCGATGCCAACTAACTTGGCAGCCTGGGCAGGTCATAGCTCTCCAGAAACCTGATTTTGCAGAATTGGTAACACCGGAATAATGATGACACCTGTCTCGAAGGGCAGTCGTGTGGCTTACAGAGGCAACCGGATCAGTATAGCACACAGTGCCCAGAGCGCAGCGTGTTTATTAATTTCTCTTTGATGGATTGCATTTCTTTTCCCCTGTCATGATCTCTGCATCTCTCCTAGGCCAAGAAGAAGAGAGGCTGGCCCTGGAAACTGCCCTGATGTATGGGGCTAAAAAGCCCCTCAACACGGATGGCCTCCTTAAAACCAGGTCTGACGTGGTCATGAATTTTGAAGTGGAAAATGCTGTGCTGGGAAGAGACTTCAAGCTAACCATCACCTTCCAGAACAACAACCCCAACCGTTACACCCTCTCAGCCTATCTCTCGGGCAATATTGTCTTCTACACGGGGGTCTCCAAGACAGAATTCAAGAAGGAGACATTCGAAGTGATGCTGGAGCCCATGTCTTGTAAGCTAACAAGGGGGGCTCTTCTCCCCGGGACTTGTTCTCTGCCTCCCTGTCTGGCTTGGTGCTGTCACTCATTAATAACTTCCTGTCGGGGCACCTGGCTGGCTCGGTTGGTTAAGTGTCCAACTCTTGATTTCAGCTCAGTTCATGATCTCAGGGTTGTGGGATCGAGTCCCGCTTCCGGCTCTGTGCTCAGTGGGAGTCTGCTTGAGGATTCTCTCTCTCCCTTTCCCTCTGCCCCTTCCCCCCACTCCCTCCCTCTTTCTTTCTCTCAAATAAATAAATGAATCTTAAAAAAAAAATAACTTCCTGTCAAAGTTAAAGTTCTGCCATAGAGCTCAGGAACAGGAACCCCATAGGAGAACCTCCTTCTTCTAGAGAGGCCTCAGATTTCAGCTTCACCTCTCATGCATAGAGGTGAACACTGAAATTTTCAAAGCCTAAAGCCCCATGAGTCATGAAAATTAAATGTAACTTCTTACTACTCAAAGTGTGGGCCAAGGACCTGAAACATCAGCATCCCCTGGGAGGTGGTTAGACGTGCAGACTGTCAGGTCCCACCCCAGATCTTTTGAACCAGGATCTACATTGTAACAAGATCCCAAGGGGATTTTAGTGCCCAGGAAAGCTTGTGAAGTACCTGTATTGGAAAGCAGCACCCCCCCTGCCCCGTATCTCTCTCCCCAAGTCAGGTAACATTTTGGGGGACTGCCCCAACAGGAATGTTGTGTTTTGCTTTACCATTTAGAAAGTAAGAGATCTAAGTTCTGCATATGGGCCATTTCTGAAAACTCATCTGCTGATATATTGGGACAGGGGAGAGCCCACCCTTGGGAGAGGAGACTAGAGCCTCGGGATGTGCTGTCCAGGAGCTGCTGAAGGGCTTTGTTCTCTCTGCCACCTCTCATGGGGTCTCTTTCTCGTCCTTGATCCTGCCCAGCCTCCCTCGAATACATGCCCTTCCAAAGCATCTCCTTCACTATAAAAATTCAGAATGTTTTAAGCAAGCTTGGGCTTGACGGTCTTCAGCTTACATAGGGAATTGCAGTTTTGGCCAATCTCATTTCTTGGGGTACTAGTATTTAGGGGGCACAAAGGTTAGTCACATAACTGGTAAAATGGGTTATCCGGGAGAAACTGGTCCCCAGGCCAAGCATGTTGAGTTAAAGCAGGTTGGAAAGGACCTGAACCTTTCAGGGCACTGGATTTCTATTGACCTGACATGTGGCAAAGAAAAAAAAAAAAACTTTAAAGGTGTACAAATAATAAGTTTTACAACATGAAGGCAAGCAAGACTAATATGCCCCCAGGGATGACCAACCCACACATCCCAGTTGTTTTCAAGCTTTCTGGATTCAGTGGCTATCCCAAGCCCCAGTGAGTACCCTTGTGAGGCTATAGAAAGATATTCCCAGAAAAATGGGGAACATTCCTAAAAATCCTAATTCCAAGAAACCTACCCAACCTTAGGGGAACAAATTTCCGGAGCTATGGTAATGTGACTAACGATTAGGAAATCACCATGGTATATATTTTTTTGGAAACTGAGAGATCTAACAATTTTCCTATCCCTCGAGGTAGGAAAGGTAATTCTTAAAGACAAGACTAGTCAGTATAAAGGACTCAAGACAACAGGCAGACACAGTGGAGGTTAGAGAAACTGAGTCTTGGAATTAGACAAATGGGGATTTTAGGTGTGACTATGTCACCTACCGGCTGTGTGTCCCTAGGCAAGTTACTTAAGTAATCTGAGCTCTTCCGTGCATGGGAACAATACCATCCACACCACAGGGTTGTAGATTCGTTCCCCAAACCTTTATTTCATGCTTAATGTCTAGATGCTGTTTTGTGCTGGAGACACAGCAATGAACACAACAGAAGTGCCAACCCTCATGGGGTTTGTGGTCTTAAGAGGTGGGGGCTGGACGATAAACAAAGCACCATATAGTATAGTTATACACATAATAAGAAAATATAAAGCAGGGTAAGGGAAGGAGGGAATGTTGGTGGGGTGGGATGATCAGGGAAAACCTCTCTAACAGGATGACATTTAACAGAAACCTGACAGAAGGAAAGGAGCAAGCTTTGCAGCCAGAAGAAATTGTAAATGCAAAGGCCCTGAGGCCAGAGCATGTTTGATGTGTTCAATGAGTAGCAAGGAAACCAGAGTTGGGAGGAAAGGTGGTAAGGGAGAGTGATGGTGTAGACCACATAAAGAACTGTGGGCCCTTGTAAGGACTTTGGCTTTCTCAGTGAGCTGAGCTGGAGGAGCCGTTAGAGGATTTTGAGCAGAAATGAGGCCTGATCTAACTTAGGTTTAACTATATACCATCCTTTCCCACTTCACAAGAATCCCATCTCCTTCCCCTTTTCTCCCTAATCCAATAAGAAAATGAGCTTCTGTGAGTTGATAAGGCTGGAATGGCATGATACATTAACCTCAGTCACTGATCTAGGGACAGCGACCAGGTGGAATTAACTGTATGCAATAGGTTGCCAACTGCAATCTAAAATAAATGGCAAATAATAATAATAAAATAAACTGCAAAGTGTTGCAAAAAGCCACCTGATTCTAGACCTTGATCAAGCAGGTCAGAGTACACTCCTAGGAGGCTCAGTTGCAAAGAAAGTTTTCCAAGTAGAATGGGAGGCATACTTTCCAGATTGATGATTAAAGAGAATGTGTGGGCTAGAATCAGCTTGGAAGATTTGAATAACTTAAACCTTCCAGTACCTTCAAAGGTGTTATCATTTCCACTTGACTATATTTAGTTTTCTTTGCTTTTTGGAAAAAGAGATGAGGCAGCTCCTGTCTGTGTCTCCCTCGGCTTTCCCCAGACACAGTAAATGATATTGGCAGGAGCCCAGTTCCACCACTCATAGAATGAAAACCTATTCTTCTTTCTCTTGCCACGTTTAATAACTTTATCTAGAACAATTTCTTGTGCAGTGGCAAAACACAGCACTTACATAACATACTATTTCAGGAGCACTGTTCTCTTGGGCTTGGAAGCACAGCCCAGTTTCCTTAGGGCTATGATTTAGAGAATGTTCTACCCCAGAGAATAATGTCCTGGTGCCAACATTATAAAGGTAGCAAAAGTCTCCGTTAAGATTGGGTAGAAAGAAGTCAGAAATATCTCACCAACCTCAAGGAATCCAGTGGTCAAACAGAGGCCCCTCCTACCCCCCAGGAATAACCAGAGGAAGTCTGGTTTTTTAGTATTGCTGGAGGCAGCTAGAGACAAAACATATGTTCTTCAAGGCATACCATTTGCCACTCCATCCATCCAGAGATGGGGCTGTGAAAAACAGCCCCCCTGTGCTCATCTGAGGTTGTATCCAGTCAAGGGATGGAGTCTTATGTGTCTGGACAATTAATTTCTAGGGGAGTCATGGAAGAAATAGGGTCCAGGCTCAGGCCCAAAGAAGGCAATATGAAAGGGTCATTAAAAAAGCAGAATTCAAGGGCCAAGTTCAAGCCAAGGTCCTCCTAACTCTGGGAGCTTCTCAAAATTGAATATGCATCATGTGGGCATCTTATTCAAAAGCAGATCGTAATTCAGTGAGTTGGGGTGGGGTTAGGGGTGGGTGGGTCAGAGAACCTGCGTCTCTTATGAGCTCACAGGTGATGGTCTGCTGGCTACACTCCGAGCAGCAAGCACCTGGACTGGAAGGGCCATACCTTCCACATGAACAAAGGCTTCTACAGAGCTGATCCTGTGGGGATCGTCCTGGTTGTTGGAGCAGTACCCCCACCCCCCGCAAACCCCAGCTGCACATTAACATCAGCCACGAAACCTGTAAAATAATGCCTGGGCCCCAGCCTCCAAAACTCTGATTTAATTGGTCTGTGATTTAATTGGTCTTAATTCAACAGGGTGGGTTTTTAATGTCCCCGCCAGGACTAAGAACTCCTCAGTCAGAGGGCTAGAGGAGGTCACAGCACCTATTCATCTGTGAGGGTGATGAGCATGTCCTGATGTATCCTCGCCTGCGGGCCGACAAGTCAGGGAGCCTTCCCTGTGCCCTGGCTCGCCCTACACAGTATCCCGTCCTCATTTCAGGACTGCTGTTCGCTGGGGACTGACTATCCCCTGCACCTGCACGTAAAGCAACGGACCCTGGGAATCATTCCTTTCAATAACTTCCACAGGGAGGAGGAATCTTTGGCAAAAGGCAGACATTGGGCAAGGAAGCAGTGGTGGAGATGTTCCATTTGGTGACCATTTGCAGAGCCTGTGTTCTGGGCACGGGGATGGAGGCGTTGCCACCCATTTCCCCACTAGGCCGGCTGTCAATGCAGCACTAGCACCTGGCTCTGAGCAGGTGCAGCAGGTGGTACACCATGGCCCGGGCTCAGCCTCTTTGCTCTCTTGAATCCTGAGCAGTGGGAAATGAAAGTGATAGAGAAAGCGGGCAGTGCCGCCAAACAGGACCTCACTATTATATTCAGAGCCACAAGATAGCATTCCCGCCCTCAGCCCAGATGGTGAATGGAGGGGAGCCTGGACCACTCCCCAGCCTCCAAATGCCAGTCTCACTGGCCTGTCCTCAACACCTAAAAGCTAACATCAGTGACTTGAGGAAACAGGCATTCGGCACAGAGGTCCTTTACACTGCAAATAGGAACGGGGTGGGAGAGAGCTGAATGCCTAGGGTAAAAACTGGTTTCAAAGGCTTCTTTCCCTTATATTGAAAAATCATGTAAGATTGGTATAGAAAAAGCTGGAAAGAAAATGTGAAGTGCTATAAGGAAAAGGTTTAGGTAGTTGACAGTTTTGCTCAAGGGTGGCCTATGGCCTGAGAGAGATGTTTCTTGTTGCACGAGGGGGCAGTACATGGACTGGTGGCCTTGGGTTTCTGTCATCTCGGGATTGTCCATGGTCAACTCAAAACAGCCACAGTTAAGACCCCTTGGTCCTTGATCTTCAACATGCCTGTCATGGTTGTGCATTTTTACAACAGGAAAAGCACTGCTTGGGAAAAAATGACACACTTTCTCTAGTAAGGCTTTCCTGAATATTAAATTTCTAGCACATTCTTATTTTATCCAAGAAGCACGAGACTTTGTCCTTGATTAAGTCTTTGTCCTTCACCTTGGCTGTGCTTCTGGTGGATGTTGAGGTCCTTTTGCTTCCTTGAATCCCGATGAGGAAGGGGATGGGGCACATGGGCAAAGTCAAGCAGGTCTAACTCAGGTCCTGATGTTCTGTATGTTTGTTTTTTCCTCTTGCCAGTCAAGAAAGAAGAGGTGCTGATCCGAGCGGGTGAGTACATGGGCCAGCTGCTGGAACAAGGGTACCTGCATTTCTTTGTCACAGCACGTGTCAACGAGACCAAGGATGTTCTGGCCAAGCAGAAGTCCACTGTGCTGACCATCCCCCAGCTCATCATCAAGGTCAGTTTTACCATCTCAGACAAGGGAGAAAGGCAAGGTTGTTGATTAGGCACCCAGGCATACTTACTGTGTGTGTGTCTTGCTCAACAAAAAAAGTAGGGGGGGAGCTAAGATTCTCCTGTTCTTTGAAAGAAGTAAACTGCACTACATATAGACACACGCACATATAACACTTTTCTCTCATCTCCAGATTTAAATATATAGATGTGGCTGCAGATATAAATATAACCTGTGGGTATAAACATACTTGTGGAGGAAGATAAAGATGTGTAATGGATACAGATCGAATTTCAGTGTCTCCAGAGTAAAGTGGGTCAGGCATGGCGTGAAATGGAAACCACTGGGATCATCTCCCGCCTGCATTTGGGACATTGAGATCTAACTGTATACAGTAGGATGCACTCACTGAGATGTCAGCTTGGTGACAACGAGTTTGTATATACATAGATGCCTTGCAACCACCAGCCAGATGAAGACATAGAGGAGTCCCAACACTCCAGAAAGCTCCCTCATGCCTTTTCCAGTCAATAATCCCTTCCTCCAACACAAAGATAACCATCTTTCTGACTTCTATCACCATAGGGTTATTTTGCCCATTTGGCTAGTAGTTTTTATTTGTGTCTCCATTTACCACCAGAAATCTCTGCCCAAATGGTTCAAAGAAACTTGGCAGAGGAGGGCAGAGAATGGATGGAAATGGAAGACAAATATGGCAACCTGTTTGCTCCCTCTTTTTGGGAGCAGTGGCAGCATCTGTAGCCACATCCTGAGACACCTTCTTGTCCTGTGAGCAGAAACCCAGGCCTCCGTCCATGTCCTTGGGGTATGATAACCTTATGTCAGCCTTACCCAGGGATCAGAGGCCTTCTCAAGTTGCTGGAGATCTTTTTTTCTAAAAGTGATTAAAAGCATTAGCACAGATCTTAAGCTTCATTCTTCTAAGGTGATCATCAAAGTTTACCAAGTTGCACATATTTTAAATGCCCCCAGAGGTGGCAGGGGTCAGGGGACTGTAAGCCCTGGGTCTTATGAACCGTTTGCTGTGAATCATTTGTAAAGCTAATGACTGTCGTGGAGCACTCAGCAAGGCAGCTGCCAATGGGTCTAGCGCTGTGCACATGGCACTTGAGGACGGCCATGTTATGAGTCACCCCAGGGCGAGGCTCACCCAAACACACACAGGTCGTGCCCATTGAGACAGAGAGCCCAGGTCCTTCATTTTGAGAAAGGCTTAAGTCATCCCGAGGCCTTCCCCCCTCAGGCCCCGCCCATGGCCCATCACAGCGCCATCCATACAAGAGGACTTAGAAGATAATCGAACAATGAGGTCGTGCAGGGTCTGCAGGCAGAACAGGAAACACCTGCAAATGGAGGGTGGCATGGGGCTCCTCCAGAGGGCCCATCAGTGCTATAAGAACGTGCATTTGCTAGCATAAGGTGCTGGTACTGGAACCAGGGCCCCCTCCAATGGCAAGTGCTCCCTGGGAGACCTGTCCCACTGGAGGTGGGGCCCGCCTGCTCCACTTCATTAGGAACCAACGCTCTGTCCCTGTGAAGGGCTCAGGAGAGAGCCCCTCCAAGCTGTGGGATGCTCCAGCCACACCCTAAGATAGAATTTAATTGCACCACTGACAATAAACTGGATGTATAAGGAAACTAATACCTTTCATCTTTTAGACATTATTTATGTGAAGCATTATTTGTTAGTTGTCTTCTGGGTTTACTTAAAGAGCAGTGAAATTCCCCTGGGGCAGAATGGAAATGCCCTCTGCTACAAGTTGAGTGACCTAGGGAAGGGCAAGTGTCCTTTAAAAGAGTTACGGGTTTTGTTTTGTTTTTTTCTTAGTTTTTATTTCCATAAAGGTATGGGAGATGCTGTTCTTGGAGGAAATTTATTTAGAGGTAGGACCATTTGACCGGAGCTCCAGCCTGAATCCTGGCTCCTGTCCAGTGCTGTTTGTTCAGGAAAGGAGGCAGGAGTATCCTCACCTCAGCTACCCCTAAACCACTAACCTCATTAACCATGCCAACCCCAGGGATGAGCTAAATCCAAGCAAGGGAAGAGGTGCTCCTGGATAAAGCACCTCACACCCTAAAAACCACCCAGATGTCACCGAGTTGTGAGGGGCTCTGGTTCCAGAAACTCTGGCTCCTGGGCCAGGGACCTGGGATGCTGCTTGGCCTACAGGAGATATGATTGTCCTGAGAGTGACTGAGAGAGGGAAGGAGGGCACAGAAAAAGAGGGGAGGGGGGAGTCGGGGAGAGGAGAGGAGAGGAGAGGAGAGGGAAGATGGTGGAGGAGAGGAGAGGAGAGGGAAGATGGTGGAGGAGAGGAGAGGGGAAGGGGAGAGGAGAGGAGAGGGGAGGTGGTGGAGGAGAGGAGAGGGGAAGGGGAGAGGAGAGGAGAGGGAAGATAGAAAAATTAACTAGAGGAGGAAGGGGAGAGGAGAGGAAGGAAGTGG